TGCATATAACAAAGCTGTTCGAATAGGAGAAATCCCCCCTGGTGCAATCTTTAAAAGGAGAACTATGAGGCGGGTGCTTTTCACTCACCTCATAGTTCTAGCCGACCTGTGACAATGAGACTGTCACAGGTCGGCCCAGTAGATCGGGAAGTGAGGGAACACATACCGGCGTTCGCTCACCTCTCGATCATCTCCCTGCAGAGAGAGGTGACCGTCAGTCACGGCTCCCTGCAGAGATTCTCTCCCTCCCCGCTCCGATCCTCCAGCTCTGACTGGCGGAACGGACGGGGGAGGGGGCGGGTACAGCTGGCTCTGCCTCTAGATAGGCAGAGCCAGCTGTCACTCACGCAGCTGGGCGGATCTCGACAGTAATGTTGGGATCCGTCCCGGCTGCGGCGGTCTCTGTATACCGCGAGCTGTGGCTCCCTATATACTGAGCTTTCAGTAACGGGAGGACGCTAGTTTGTGAGAACTATGGGGAAAAGCACTTACCTAATAATTCTCCTTTAAATCTATTTGTTTTTGGATTCCTGAGGGGGAGACTGTCGAATCCGAGAGAAAACAAAATGTTGGACGGCCCTTTAAGATATCTACTGACTTAGAAGATTGTATCAATAAAAAGAATGGCTGGAAAATCAATAGATGTATTGCCAGCACGACGGGGTACAAAGAGCGAAGACTTATATCAGTCATTCGTAGACTTCCAATGGAGACAATCATCTGACGCAACAAATAAACAAATCGATTGGGCCGATCACGGTTAGATTTACCATCGGGACTGATCAGAAACTGATCGCTTAATGATCCAAGACAACCTGCTAATGCCATTGATTGAAGTCATATCCCCTCCTGAGCTTCCTTTAGTATAAAATGGCTGCTAATATGTAACAGACTTGTTATCAAATGTAAATAAAATGAATATCTGAATCTGAAGCTCGGTACTGTAATAGGAACATTCGTGGAGGAATAAGTCCAGTGCTGGTACCCGGAAAATTATCAACCGGTCCAATAAAGGCAGCTCAGCTATATTGTAACACATCGTGGCCCCCTTTATATGTATGCACAATGTCAAGGCACCCCAGTGTAAAATGTAGAAAACATTGTCTGGTCTCATCCCAGATCGGGGTCCGGTATGGATTTTATGAGAGTACCCCATGCAATAGTACAAAAACCTGGGGACCTGCCTTTAAATCTGGAGCCCCCCTTCATATCAGAATCCCTCTTTCACATCAGAAGCCCTTTTACATTAGGAGCCTCCTTGACATCAAAGCTCCCCACCCTTTCACACCAGATTGTCTCCTTCAAATCAGGAACTCCCGTTCATATATTTCACATCAGAGGCCCTTTTACATTGGGAGCCTCCTTCACATCAAAGCTCCCTACCCTTTCATATCTGAGTAGCTCCTTGAAATCAGGACCTCACCTTCATATCTGCACCCCCCTTTCACATCAAAAACCCTTTTACATTGTGAGCCTCCTTCACATCAGAAGACCTCCTTCACATCAAAGCTCCCAACCCTTTCACATCTGAGTAGCTCCTTGAAATCAGGACCTCACCTTCATATCTGCACCACCCTTCCACATCAGAAACCCTTTTACATTGTGAGCCTCCTTAACATCAATAGACCTCCTTCACATCAAAGCTCCTACCCTTTCACATCTGAGTAGCTCCTTGAAATCAGGACCTCACCTTCATATCTGCACCCCCCTTTCACATCAGAAACCCTTTTACATTGGGAGCCTCAGTCACATCAGAAGACCTCCTTCACATCAAACCTCCCCACCCTTTCACATCCGATTTCCTCCTTCAATTTAGGAACTCTCCTTCGTATCAGAACCCTTCTTTGACATCAGAGGCCCTCTTACTTTAGGAGAATACTTCACACCAGAAGACCTCCTTCACATGAAACCCCCTCTCACTACCATTATATCAGAAGCCACAGCTGTGGGCAGAAGACTGAGCAGGTCTAGACGGAGGTGAACTTCCATTCCCTTAAGTTCATAATACACCTAAAATAAGTAAAAAAAACTTAAAATGTTATGACAATATCCAAAAAATGCCAGAAAGTGGCTGTATGGTGAGACACAAGATTTGGGGAAAATTGTAACACAAAGTTGGGGACAGATAATGATGTACTCAAAGGACATTTTGGAAAATAGATTTCAATTGGCACATGGGCATTGTAAGATAATCTGCCGCTGCTGAGCGGAGGACACTGGATAATGCATTTTCATTACGGTGGTTGAGCCAGGATGGAGCAGTGGTTGACCTAAAAGCACGAGGGACAGGAAGGTTTGGCTCATGCAGCCCTGGTTAACCTGGGAACATTGGCCACACAAAGCTTTCTAGTCGAATGGTTGACCTGAATTCACAAGGTCCGGGGGAGATATCAGTCCATGAAACATTCAATAAGACAATGCTTGGCCTGGAAGCCTGAAGGCCAGGAAGTTGAGACACAAGTTGAAGTGGGATCTTTAGACAAAGGAAGCTGTTTTTCCACATTGGTTCTCCTTTGAGGACATGGCACAGAAAGATACATTTTCATGAGACACCGACTGACCTGACAACTTTGTTGGGACTATAAATTTGTGGTTCAATGGAACCTAGAAGCATAAAGGAGATTATACAAAGGGTTTAACCCAACAAGTGGCTGAGAAGGGAATATGGACAAAGGAAGGTTCTTTTTGGCATGAGGCATCGCCAAATATCATCCAGAAAAGCTCTGCTTGCCCTTGAAGTCTGACGATGAGGAATTCATGAAGCCACGTGTCACCTTTCTGAGGTAAAGAAAAAAGTGCTTCCATAGAACAGTGTTTCCTTAACCTCAAGAACCTCTAATGGGTTGTTTAATCACAGGATCTTATCAGGAGGTGAGATTATTATTATGCCAGGAAGTCAAAATCTGTTGTAAGACCAGAGTTGGCAAACACGGTCTCCGAGAACAAGGCACAAAACAACTTTGTTTCATGGAATGTTTGCTGACCTGAGAAAAACTGGAATGGAACAATGGCTGGCCTAGAAGCACAAAGCAGAGGGAGTTGTGTAGACCTTGAAGCCCGGTCACAGAATGTTAGGATTCCATAGGACACTGGAAGATAGTGTACGTTTCCTCCATTGTATTTGGCACTTGTGGTGGTTTTGTCACTTGTGGTGTTTCCAGTTCTTACGAAGGGCAGAAGAATGTCTTGTGTCAGTTTTTACTTCCTTCGGTGTAGTGTGGAGAACATTAGAAGAAGGTTAGTATTCACTCCAGAGAACGGCTTTTTTCCCTCGGTCCACACTGACCACATGATCTCCGGATAGAGACCAGGCCACAGCATTGACAGCAGTACTGCGGACAACAAAAACAAAAACGTTAGATTCCAACAATCTCCTATAAGGATCTTCTGAGAGCTAAGGGGCCCTTTCCTTCCCTCCTCAACCCCTTCTGTGGTCCTACAACCTAACTATCTCCTTTCTTTTTCTTTTACTTCTTTTCTCATTACTCTAGAACCTTGGTTCTCAACTATTGGGTGGTGACCCAAAAGTGGGACGCGGCCCCGTGTTCAGTGGGTGGCCACATGACTTCCGCTTTTCTAGGTGAAAAGCTCCTCAGCCTCCCCCTAGAGCAGCACTGTCAGTTCTCACGCTGAGCAGCCATTCAAAATATGCCGGAGTGTCAGCTTCAGGTGGGATGGGGCTATAGCCACGAGGGAGCTCCATCCATACATGCATTGCTTACAGCTCCCTCGCATGTCCTGTAGAGATTCCTGGACCAGAGTGATGTCACATTCTGGCTCCCGGCACCTCTACAGGGCGCACGAGGGAGCTGTACCAGCAATGCACATGGAGCTCAATCACAGTACAGCAGCCTGGACCGCAGGCTGAGGATCCACTCCAGTTCTTGTAAGGTAGGGAGACTGGGTGGACCAACCACGTGTCCTGGTGTGGGGGGTGTTTTGTGTTGCCATTCATTTGAATGGCAGCCCAAAAACACCTCCCACCTACAGTTCTATTGCCTGCACCTGAATGTACGGTACCGCAATGCCGTGCATTCCATGGCAGTGCAACTTGGGTCATGGCTCAATGACCAAGGACAAATGTGGATCCTGAGGTTACACAGGTTGCGAACCACTGCTCCAAAACATGTTTTCCAACCTTTTTACTCCTGAGGAACCCTTGACAATATTTTCAGGACCCCTGGGGACCTCTTCTGGTTGAGTAATCTGCTCTACCAAAGTCCATTTAATAAAGACTTATACCAGTTGTGGAAATGTTTTTCTTTCCAGGGTTACCATATCATATACATTGGTTGTATACACTCTATGCAATGATATCACAATGTATAGGCAAAGGTTTGTGGACACCTCACCATCACACATATATTATATGGCCAAAAGTATGTGGATGCCCCTCTCCCATATTAGTTATCTCCGGTGTTTTCCATTGAAAGTCCTACAACATACAAAGGCATTTTCATGTATGTGTGTGCGTGTTTTGTATGTGAACATGCAATCTTCTCCCAACATTTTGGTGAAGGCCCCTTTCATGACTGCCCAGTGTACAAAACCAGCTCCATAAGGACATGGTGTGACCAGCTTGGTGGAGGAACTGGAGTGTCCTGCACAGAGCCCTGACCTCAACCCTACTGAACACCTTTGGGATGAATTGGAATGCTGATTGTGACCATCCAACATCTTTTCATCCAACATAACCTGACCTCACAAATGGGCCAAATATACACAGACGCCCTCCAAAATGTTGTAAGAAGTTTCCCCAGATCAATGGAGCCTGTTAAAGCTGAAAAGGGGAGCAAACTCCATATTAATGCCCATGGTTCTGGAATGGGGATGGCCAACAAACTCGTACATGGTCAGGTGTCCACATCCTTTTGGCCATATGGTTTATTCTACTGATTCTCGGGTCCAATACTGAAAATGTTACAATTTTCTCCATCAAAAAAAAGTTAAAATCGAACCATGGCCAATGGCTTCCTTTGATTTCACTGCTCACCGTGTGCCTTAGAAGATGTGCATTAGCAGGTCTCCTCATGCCTTTAAAATGCTCATAGGACTCTGGAAAGCTGATGAAGCCTGGGAAACTGTCTCACCACAACTGAAATATTCAGCTCACCTAACTATTTTAATATTCCTGTTTTTGTTTTCAATGGGTAAATGTCTGATTGAAGCATTTCCAAGAACTGTCTGCTATGTTCTAGTTGCACAGGGCTGATCATGTGACACTTCACACACCAATAAGGAAACAGGGCAAAGAAACACGAACAGCTCATTACAGCGTGAACGGCAGCAAGCTGGAGCATCATGAACAACGAACGTAGCTGGAGCGCGCTCTGCTGGCACACTACAGGAGATTGTCTGACACTACCTAATTCTAGGGAGGGGGGGGTAGAGAGAATTACAGCACTTTGTCTACACTTTGTGCACATAGGTAAGTATGTCTGTCACAAGATGTGCTTGCAGCCTTTGACCTGTCCTCTCTCCTGAGAATTCCAGTACCTGTAGCTCCTCTAGTTCAGCCAGGTTATCTATGTGTTTATGGTACACACATCAGTGTAATGCCCTCAGAGATACCAACCTGGTAGCTAACGTTGAACTGTGTTATTTCTTGTAGTTCCGGGGTAACATTTTTGACGTAAACCCCTCAAGACTCTTCATTTACCTCCTCACCGGGAGGTAGATCATTCTTTCCATACTGTTTAATATATGTATACAGATATATTGATACCCGTTGGGGGTGGAGGGTTGTCTTGGAATATGTGGGGCTTGGAGACCCCAACTATAGAGAACACGTGTTTCCATTACTACAACATTCCAACGCAAACACAATATGCCTTCCAGAGATGCCCCCAAATAAGGACAGTGCTAAATATCTCCTTGGGTCATGGCTCCAATGGTCCCGTCATTCAAATCCCACCTCATACTCCAAAAAGGGTTCCAGTATTTGTCCATCGATGGATCAGAAGGGAATGTTTTGAAAGTTAAAACCGACCCTTAGAGGCTGCCTGGTATCCAGGTGACCTCCCCTCAGATGCCTGACGGGTGTTGTGGTTTGATCATTGGTGACTTGATGTTGTATATTTGATGTTCTTGCATACAAAGTTTGTAATTGATCCGGGACACGGATGAAGACATTTTATACTGATCTTCGAATCCTATTATATTGTTATTACGTTTAATAAAAAGAGATTGACTGGAAACCAACCCTTAGGGGACCCTTATAGATGCGAGCTATGATCAACTCCCTAACTCCTGTGATAGTTGGACTACACGATCCTCCTCCGGCCTCTCTAGATGTTACACAATCAGCTGTTTTCTTTCACTCTGCAATGCCCAGAGGCCCATGTCCTCTGTATGGGAGATGTTCTCTGAACCGACGTGGTGACCCTCTTGTTTCTTCTCCACGCTGACCTACTCTACTTCAAAGGCTGATCAACTAATTGGGTTGGTGGGACTTGTGGAGATATACGTATGCCGACACAAGGGTTGTACTCATGTTACTCCCCTGGAAGACGAGCTTTTATCCCGCATAGACCTTAGGCTGGGTTCACACCATGGCGTATTCGCGTGTTCCGTGACGCGCGTTTTTTTAACGCGACAAACGCGCGTTTCCTAGGGCTTCCTGGCTGTATCCCAATGGAAACGCGCGGCAAAAACGCCCCAAAGAAGCTCCTGTGCTTCTTTGGGCGTGGGGCGTTTGGTAGCGCGTTCATACGGCCTGTAATACGCCCAGGTGTGAACCATACCCATAGGAAATAATGGAATTTCGGTGTTTGAACGTTTTGCAGAGCGTAGGAACGCGCTACAACACGCCCAGGTGTGAACAAGGCCTCACGCTTAGTAATGATAACATTGTAACTATGGTGGACTCCATTCCCTGCTCGACTAGAGGAACCTCTGACCGTTTTCCACTCCCATATGGGAGAATTCACCCTTTGTGGTTACACCTGACCCTATTCCTGATGAAATAATGGCCTTTCTTGAAGCTCGTACTAACTACAATGTCTTCTGTGGTGCCTTTAACCCTTTTGCTGCCACCGACGTATGGCATAGGTCACCAGCAGTGGGCCCCCCAGGTCTAAACTAATGAAAATGGAAAGGCTTTATTTAAAAATGTCATCATGTTAATCAGGGGGGGGGG